TTGAATACGATAAAAGCTACTAAAGAGTCATTTACAACTGGGCCAAGAGCTGCTTAAAGAGGGAAATAAATAAATGCAAAATGGATTTAAATCCGCTATGGCAGCCTCTGTTTATGACCTTTTAAAGGCTAATAAAGTAGGGTTTTATTTAAGAGGTTTGTATTATGCATACAATCTGATATTGTTTATAGGGACAATTGAGAAAATGACCGAATTTTGGTTATTTTCAGGAAAAAACGTATAAATTGCAGACTATTTCAGAAGATATATTAATACGTTTTGACGTGATACCAATGTACACAAATATTACAGTTTGAGGACCCATTCAGTGAGTATGGAGCATCTATCATGAAGCTTCTTGATTTAATTATGTGTACGTTTAATGAATAGACGTAGAGACTTACAATGGGTTCGTGCTTAGCTTGAATTTTGGCAAATAATTGCATAAAAGAGGTAATTATCACTCATAAATTATTAAATAGACACATGAATAATTATGTTGTGGTCTGGCGACATGGTAGAGACGGTGTAAAGAATATCCCATTTTCAAGTGATCAGCGTGAAATATATGTTAAGTTAACAATAGAATTGAGAAAAAATGGAAGATAACCTTTATGGATGTTATAGCTATTAAGAAAATGGTAAATTAGACAGATGTGTTTATAGGAAACTGACATATTTTAAAATGTATGATTATTTGTATAAAGCTTGCCAATGAAAGTCATCAGAATTTAAAAAAGTAAAAGATTAATTTAGGCGGATAGTATTTGTTCAGTATATATATATTATTTTAATCTGGGACACTTTAATCTGAAAATCAAAAACTGAAATTTAATAATGCCATAGTTATGAAAAAAGATTATATATATATGTATACATATCACGATCTAGTTATAGACAATAAGGTCTGAAAAAAACAATTGTAGATATATTCATGATTAACTAAAAAAGTAGATAAATACCAAGAAAAAAGACATTTAAATACATACTAAATGTGATTTAATGGCACCCAAAAATGTTGATATATATATAAATATATATATATATCTTCATAGTGTTACGTAATAATTGTTCGTGTCTGCTAATGTATTTTAATAAATTACCTATAATATTATATATATAGATATATATATAATTCACTTTAACATTATGCCAAATTAATAATCACTATCTTTCTGTGAAACTGAAGATGCCGGCCTAGTTAGGATAAAGCAAAAATGTAGTTCAAATATTAAACAAGATGAAACAATTGAAAGAAATCAACACTCTATCTAGTATCACGATGTATTTATGCACAATTAAGTCTGAAAATACAATCAAATATATAAATATGATTAAACAAGAAATGAGTAAAATAACAAACAAAAAAGACTAAAGACTTTGACTCATTTGATCACATAATATTTGATCACACACATTTGATGATAATATATTTTTAATATATTACGCTGAGTTATAACCGGCTTTACGTGAGGACTTGATCACATACGCACACACAAATAAACTCGAATCCAGCTGAATTAACCATGCCTTACAATATCCATTTGATCAAAGTAAGATCATGTATCTGTGTTAAAATCCTAGCACAAAGCCGTTCATATCTCATTTATATATAATATTTTAATC